ATTGACTTTATGTAGTATTAATTTAAACTTTTGAATATTCAAATGCAATTGGCGGCTTTCCAATTGTTAGTCTAGTCACGGGTTGAAACATACGAACAGGTTTAATCGTCGATGGTTATGGTGATGCTGATGAGCTTGGTTCCATCACCCTTTACGAGCGTCGGTGGCATATTCCTAGTTAACGTAATGTGTGGTCATTTTGTATTTCCTGCTGGCCTCCATGAATATACATATCTATACTTATGTACATAAAGTCCAGGGGTATGGTATAAATTAACCAGACATATTCTACACTCGAGTGAACTGGCAAACTACATTAACAGGAGTTCAAGAGAAATGTGACTCAAAGTTTGTGCTTAAGGGCTCAAGGGGTTGGAAAATTTGTATTTGCGATCGAAACATGTACCGGCATTATACTTAGCAACAACAGTAACATGTGCGACTCATAGATATAGGTGTGCTTCTATGCGAGTTGAGTTATCTTATTAATATATACAATAATCTCCTTGGAAACTCTTGTAATGCAGAATTATATTCACTTCAAACAATCCGATAGAGACTGACTTGACAAAAGCAACACATTCGCACGCATCTAATCACAGGACAGCAGTTTCCGTATGCAGCTGAGATTAAACTCATCTAGCGCAATGAAATTTCACGTCAAACGATCGTCAGCCAAGCTTCCTACGTACATTAATTCATGCATTCGTGCATCATGAGCTGTAGGATGAGGAGAAAATATTATGTTCAGTTTATGTTATAAATACAAACAAAAATGAAGATATTAAAATTCTGATAATAGAGAAAAGAATATGATAAGGAACAAAAGAAAGAAAAGATGTTTATTTTTTTACCTGTATAATAGTGACGTTATATAAGTTCAATGTTATTAATGTATACTCCAGAGATTGAGAATCAAATGATTAAAATTTCATAAAGTTGATTATTATCACAATAAGAGATGAATAATTCTGGATGATATTGTTGATTTTATTTCTAAAGCGCTTCCTTTGTACATGAAATAATTGTGTGACGTAAAATTTTATCATCACTATTATTTTAATTGTTAATGAGAAGTTTATCTTCGTAATGATGCTGTAATTCTTTTTAAAATGACATTTATTTAATTAATTGAAGAATTTTTTAGATTATGATTTTAATTATATTTTTTTTTAATAAATAATTTTTAAATAAAAATTTTAACAACGTCTTCCATGCAAGTGATACATTGAAATGTGTATGTGTGCACATATACAGGTAGATTAACTGATGGAACGTGACGATTTATGTCGTATTACGAAAAGCACGTGTGCGACATCTGGTAGTTATACGTGAGATACTGATGGAATTTTTAGGCAGTCTTTCTTTTATTCCTGAACCCCTGTGGAGGTTGGACGTTTTTTGCGTCATTATTTTGCCTAACGAATAATTACTAGGTATGTATGAAGATTAATTATTTAATTACCAATATACATACATAAATATATTAGTAATAAGTACACAATGGAAAATAGCTGGTTACAGAAAGGTAAACATGCAAATAATTAAGGACCATAATTGTTTGAAGGAGAACTCAAACGATGCATCAGCCGTTAGAACTCCATTGAAAAGCCTTGGGCGTTGTAAGTTTTAATCGCTGCTTTTGTGACGCCATAACATTCTACGACATAAGAGATTCCAGTTTTCATCTATTGTATTAGCACCTTTGTGTGCAATATAATTGTAATGTGTTATTAGAATATTCAGTTAATTTCCAACTGTTAAAAGACATTAGGCTTTTGCTATAAGATGGCGGCGGATATGTATGTGACCTTAAGGACTTAAAGCTTTAATATTGGAATTGGCGTAATGGAAAATGGAATTATGTCGGTAAGTAATTTTAATCACTTTAACCTTTACATACAGAAATAATAATGGTGGTTTTAATGAAGACAAAAGTTTAATTACAAATGTTGGATACTTTTTATTTAACTAAACAAATAATCCGCTTAACATTTTTGTTATTAAATAAACTTTACAGTATTTATATTTGACCCAGTGAACAATTTATGAAATTAAAAGGTCAATATAGAATTCAAGGTACTTTTCTCATAAATTAAAAAAAGTTTATGCTCTGTGGGAGTTTTAGTAATTTTATATTAGGGTGTATGAAAGCAGATTTTCACCAAAGTGCAGTATTAAAAGCCTGTATAGGAGTATAAAGTAAAATAAAAGTATTTAAGACTCAATATTTTATAATAACTAAGTTAGCCGCATACATAAGCTAGCTTTTTTCAGTCGCAAAATCTTCGTAAAAGCCAAGAAGCTAAGAAGGGTGAACAGGTAGTAAAAAGTTGAGCTGGAATCTGCTGTTTAACTTATTATATCTTAGGTGATAGTCAGGTAAAAGCGTTATTCGATTAATCCTGTTAGATAAAACACAGTAAAAGCAAAGCGTCCCAGAATTGCGAGGCCCTTCTATCTCTCTTTCTCTTGTTTACTTTCAACTTATTTCCCTGACTTTATCAACTTGCAAATGAATTTCATTGGTACTGAGAAAAATAAAAGATAGTAAAAAGATAGTTAGATATTAATCGGTGTTGGGCTTTAATCCTTGAAATTGAATGCAGTTCATATATCTATTTTATTTATTTAGCTTACACTTTTGTTCGAAATGTGAAAAGTAAAAAATCTAAGTATAGTATTTGTATACTCTTGTATTTATAGGTACATTCTCGTGAGGATTATCGATAAATCCTGGATTTTGTGCCCTCAATGTTATACAAAGTTCATGGACGATGGCTACCCGTCTACAGTGTTATGAATTACGACAATTTATTGGTGCGTCGAACGTTGACCTGTATCACTGTGGATAAATCCTCTAGACTGATTTAATTGCACAGGACATTCAGAGAAATATAAAAATTTATAGGGGCTACTGTAATGAAATTTTTCTTTTTATCACGAAGACTATGTCAATTTAATTGACTTTAGTACGAACATTTTTCAGTAAAAATCTGCTCAATTGTCTTGATCTTCTTACATTTGTTCTTCCATAAAATCTGTAGACGTAGCAAAAAAAGTTATGAGCTTGTAATGATAAGGTCTGTTTAACTATCTTTAATTTATAGCTTTTTCACCACTGATTTTGCACTGTTCATTTCTTCTAAATCCATCAACTCATCTATTTCTTTTATATTATTATACTTGAATTTTATTGTTTTCAGACATGAATTTTGATGAGGTCGTATTCTGGCTTTATAAGCAGCTAGAGTTTTATAAAAATACCTAAGACTTTACTCCAACATTAAACTGAATTTTCTTTTATTCATCGAGGATTGAAATATTTAATTGATGTCATACAAAATGAAAAAAACTTACTTGGTAAATAACTTGAACTCTTTTTTATTACTATCAGTCATAAATCAATTGAAGTGGAGTAACGTGATGATTTTTTACAACCGATAAATTTGATAAAGATAATATTACTAAAAAATATTGCATTTTGATTACGGATTCATCATTCAGTATTTGATGTATGTCAACAAACTGATGCGATTCCAGTCACTATTTTTTGATGCGTTAGTTTTCGAATTTTTAAAAGAGCACCAGTGACCCGACTATTTCCGATGGATTGAACCATATCACGCATGAAGTTCATGCAAAGTGCAGGAGGAAATACACTACGCAACCGTTTGAATTCCAATGTCGGTTTCATGAGTAAAATAAAAGTATAGTGTATCTATGTATACAGTTGAGGGTTAAAACTGATAGTAGAGATGCAACGGCTGTATATATCGGCAATATAACGAACTATATGTGCATACGAATAACTGTAGGTAGGGTCAATCGCTTCGAAAATGGTCAAGAGCTCCGGGCTTATTGGAGAAGGGAGAAAGTTAGTTATGATACCAATTTGTTGGCTCCCTCTCGACTCTCCAGTCATGTTCTAGCACTATTAGCCAACAATACTGAAACTTAATTGATGCAGAGACTTGTTTTTATCTCGCTGCAAGTTCCCAAGCGAAAAAGAGAGAAGTTGGAAACATTGCCCTGTCAAGTGCCCGCGAGCAAAACAAACGTTTTGATCTGTGTTCATCAATTAAACAATACCAATTTCTATTTTTTAACCTAGTTTTTTTAATCTCTTATTCAATGATTACAAATATTTTTTCTAACACGAATTATCTGAAAAAAATTTCAGTTTATTGGATTAAATTCAAGTTAAGTAATTAATTGACCTACACCTTGTGTATGAAATGGACAAAGAAGATGTAATTAATTTTGACCCCTATCACTTTCACGCCATTATTTTTTGTCTTGATTTAGCTAGCTTTTCGTGATATATGATGATTAAAACTAATGATCTAGAAGTGTTTTTTTCTTTATCCATAGTCACCTCATTTTTTTATATGTTGACATAATTTAAAATAATCAATACCGTAGATGTTCCAATCTAATTGTATTAAAAGAAATTCTTCTACTTTAAATTGTATTGAGGTTTCATTTGTTTTTACTTGAAAGCCTTTTGCAATTGTATTGGACCATAAACAGTTGGTAAATATACTAGTAGTAAAGATATTGGTTGCCGTACGAAATAACGAGGTAGGTTATTTCTCTAAGGAAGACGACTTGTTAGTCTTTTTTTATCCTTATACACTTTGTCAATTCTAATTTTAAATAGGTAGAGAAACACTTTGGTTGCAGTATATATATATATATATATTCATGCATATACATAGTTACACATACAGCAAGCAGTTACTTCCTACTCTGTAGATGAGAGCAGGCTCAAATGCATTTTCCCTTAGCTTGATGGACTTTGTATATAGTCTAGAGACTTAAGTCTATCACGATAGAATTTGGTTGAATGCTTGAGTTAACCGGGTCGTCCATTAACTTTGGCTAGCTTTATTGTCTATCATTTTCATTTATTATATCACTTTGAATAATTATCTCATTTAATTTAAAATAATGGCTCACTTTAATTGAAAGATATATTTAAGCAAATATATACTCACTTATTTCCAAGTATTTTTGATGAATTGGATCATACTGTTCCCAGTTGACAGATCTGAATCGATTACGCTCTTTACTGATCATCATTGGGCCATCATTTCGATGGTGTTCATAAACATTCGGATTTCTGTAACATATTTATAATTTAAAAATATGTAATTATTATTAACAGCGTCTTAATTTTATAGGTAAATACGAAGTTGATGGTTATTTGGTGTACTTTGGAGAATTCCTGAATTTACGAAGAGTTTCCGGTTACTTTAGAGTACTTGCTAGCTCGCTCCGGACACAGGAAGTAAAGTGCCAGCCACAGTTGTGTTCATCATGGCCACAGGACATTCCTGACATCCTTTGAGCACATGTTCAACACAACTGAGTGATAAACAGGATTGGATGATTAAGGAGAAGGAGTTGACAGCAATCAAGTGTGTACACGGATTTCAAATGAATTTGGTAAATATATTATTTTATTTGAAATTAATTTATAATAAGTTTTAAGTCAATTAAAAAGAAAACTTTTACTGTCAAGTGAAGAGGATTCTTAAATTGTTCTATCGTAATTACAAAAATTTTATTGGAAATTAAGTTAACTTTAATTTTTAACTAGAGGGATAATCCGAGACAGATCGATTGGTTGTGTGATAATCCCGCTAGTTTGTTGGTATCTCAACGTGTCTGACGTCGGATTTGCGCAATTCGATTCCCGTTATCTGGTTATTGAGGGTATAGGGTGTAATTATGCGGTAGCGCACACTATGATGCCCATGTACGTCAATAATCCATCAGATGTACATACATGTGATGGAACATCAAAGAGATTTAGTTTAAAGTCAGGTGGTATTTTTTTAAAGATAATTAATTAATTTTTTTTTCAAATTTCTAAATATCAATAATACATTCAGAGTTAACAGAATTGATGAAATAGTTCATTGAAACATATAGAGGTTCATGCTGATGAAAACGTTTTATTATTTAGTGTGATTATTTGTTATGATAATATGGTACTGGATTTCAATCAAATTAATTACTGAGCTTATTATATATGATATTACTTATTCATCTATTCATACTGTTAATCGTGAATATTGAGTTAGATATGTAATTATAGTGGTACATTTAATGCATACATTTACTGAGCATTTCTTTTTCTAACTAAATTTTACTATTAAATTGTATGTGGATTCAAGAGTTTCTCTAACGATTTAACTTTTAGTCGAATACATCATGAGGATTAAATATAAAATAGAACTATAGACCGTACAAAAGTATTATCGAGTTGGGTTTAAAATTGTTAACAACCAGATTCAAAACTCGGATGAACATTAAGCTCTAGATAATGAGTTCATTGATAAGTATTGTTATAATTTGTATTTTTAGGAAAATCTATAATATTCTAATTATGATAGAATTAAGTAATATTTGAAAAAAAAAATTAATAGTCAAATTTGACTAATCAAGAAACGAATATTGGTTTATCCCACTTCAGCCAACTTTCAAGTACTAAACAATTCTTCGACCAATGAAGATGTCAAAAGCAGACACTGCTGGCGTCTCTGCTCGTTAGTAAGAACGGATTTGGCCTCGAAATCTCTATGTCTCTGATTCACTCCCGTCGTTATTCTCTTGAAATGGAATGGAATTGGAAGCAAATTGGCAGAACGCCTCGGAATTTCTTCATTCGTTTCTAGAAATTGGTGAAGGCTGTAGATAAACGAGCTGTCTGTAGTCATCATAACGTACCTATTTAATTGTGCGTCTATGAAATACATATTAATAAAGGATTATTATTGCACTTTTAATTGCCATTGTAACACTCTCTTCATGATATTTTTGTCATGATAAAATACCTCGACTGTGGAATTTCCATTAGTATTTCGTCAGAGATATGCACTAAAGTGGTTAACGCTGAAAGCATAACCAAATTTCGCGGCAAGACAAGTATTCTGAGCCGCGAATAACTAAATTTCCCTCTTTCTCATCGAGTTGAGAATAAGGGAATGAGATAAGATCCCCTACTATGACGCTAGCACACTCGAAATTCGACGGATAGGCTGCTGAGACACGTAGTTCCAATATCGTCTTAACGCCTGACGACGTAAGAATTTCACTGATAGGCGTTGGGGCGTTCGTTCAACGCCTTTGGGCGAACATCCGTTTGTTCTCCAATTTCCCAAATTCCATTCCACGCTCCAATCGTTTCATTCTCAATAGCCTAGAGGAGTGAGAAAATCTACGATAGATAACTTTTTGGCCTAGAATCTGCACTCGGTAGAAATTGAAATTCGTTTATTTTTCATTCCTTCATTCGTGTATTTTCTGATACTGTTGCAATATTGCCAGTATATCATTAACTTTAGAGCTAATAGACTTGTTTATTTATCTGGAAAAAGTAATTATACATTCATCAAATATAGTTATAAAGCAATACAAATAATACATGAATTTGATATTGATGTTATTTCTGTTTTCATCAGCGTTTCAATTTTTGTCAATGAAATTTTACATAATCAGTATGTGTTTATTCATCATTTAATAGAGTCAGATTAAAAGTTTATGAATATAGGTTGACTCGTTAATAATTTGAAAGTTACATGATGGTACTTAACAAGGTATTCAACTTTCTCGCCCAATTTTGAATATGCTTACGCTTCTACGTAGCATGTTAATGTAAATTACTGAGGGAAGTAAAGAGGACTACAGTGAGTAGATGAGTTTGATGCAAATATTGTTTTATTTAGCGATCCTTGTCTATTGGATTGGTCTGTTAGTAGGTCTGTTGGTTAGATAGTTGTTAAAGCGCTAGTCATTAACGATTTGTCCCGTAATTAAGCTACGCGAGTAGCAAATTTACCAGACTATAAACGACAACGTATATATAGCGATGAACAAGAAAAGCTACGAGCAAGTGTATGAGTTTTAACTATCTCTATTTAGTTGGTGCCCTTTCATGGATTTTACCACACGATAGATAACTTTAGAATCTATTGGGTTGAAAGTTTTATCATTCCTAGAAGATAATTGGTGGTATTTAGGACTTTAGCAATACTATTGCAGTTCCTCTTTTCTGTACGACAAGTTGTCTCTCGTGCCAGCGGATCTACGTGATCGAAATAACGAGGTAATTGGAGCGTCCGCTGGGTGCTGACAATCCCCAAGGATCAAATTGCTTCACGCGAGAAAATCATAGATATTTTCAAAGTTATGTTGCCTCTAAAGTAATAATAAATTTTAAGTATTCCAATCATGCTTGCCATTTGATTCATTTTGATTTTACTGATAGTCAAATTGATATAAGCTTTCGCTTGAGCTTGTGGAAGTAATAATAGCTGTGATTACATTTGTTAGAGCTTTAGATAAGGCATATTGGTCAAATCCTATTGAGTCCTTGAATCTTATTACTTGCAACAGGTAAAGTCAGTGGCTTAAGCCTCAACTTATAAGTTTGCATGAATATTCGAGGAGGAAATAAAGACACAAAGATAGTGAAAAAAGAGAAGGGCAAAAGAGAGAGAAAGAGAGAAGGATTGAATAAACTTAAGGGAGAAGAAATAGCTGGTGCAATCGATCTCAGGTAATTCCAGGAAGCAAATTAAGTAGACCAATCTCAGCGAGGCGATAGAACGTGATTATTCTATTAAGGGGTAAATCATGATATAGAGAAGAGAAAGAGGAGGATGTTGAAGAGTAGATGCAGACAAAATCGATCAGGTAGTAAAATTCGCTTAGAGATGCAGAATTTGGATAAAATGCTGAAATGGTTAATAGCAATTGAAAAAACTAAGAGAGCCAATAATTTCCCGAGAGGTTTCGTGTACTTTAATAGGATCGTATTCAATTAAAACGCTTGATTTATTTCTGGAAGCCAATGAATGGCACTTGAATTGCATTCTGAACTTAATCAATAAAGTATAATAAATAAATAAGTTGTTCAGCTTATTAGTTGGTTGAATAGGAATTAATATTAATAATAAAAAAGGTAATACGCTTATTTGATCAGTGGTTACAGTTGAATCGTAGTCTTAAGCCCATAAATCCTTACATAAATAGAATTGCAATCGTAAACAATAATTTAGCATAATCGTTCGACCGGTGTAGCCGGGGAGTTGAGAGAAACGTAGAGTTAACGTGCACTGGCTCTAGGTTAAACATACAGCTTGCCTCCAATAACCACGAAACCGGCAATCGCAAACAGGGCGTGGAGTCGTGGCCATGCTTCGTGGTACTTTACCGTCGTAATCCTAAAGCAAGCAGCGTATAATGCAGACATACGTGTTAATTACGAAGGGTTAAAGTCTATATGGTGATACGCCATCATCTCCTTAGTCAGACTGTTAAAGAAAAATACTCAGATGTCTTAAAAATGAATATTGATATTTATTTCTTAGGTTTAATTTAATCAAAGTGAGATGTAGGAAAATTTTGAAGGATGACTTTAAATATAAAAGCAAACATTAAAGAAGATAGAGCATATCATTTGTATTTATTATCAGATGTCGAGGCTGTACATAGACCATAATTTTGAATAAATAGGGGTGATACTCAAACCCTCTTCCACTTCCGTAATTCACGTTGACTGACGTTAACTCTGCAGGATTATCCTCGCCATTTCTCTTCTCAGCTTCGTTCTCTCCCTGTCTCAGACACCTCTCCGATCACCGTGAAACAACCATTGCCAGGCAAACGAGCAACTTCAACGTGGTTATGTTGATTTACTTCACTCAATTATCTTGGAATTTTAATTATAGCTTGAGCCGTGTAATACTCTTTGTTCATTTGTTCAATTAATTTTATCTAAGTTTTGTAAAAATATATATATCAACTGTTATGACAAAGTTATTTTATTATTCATATAATATTTGAGTATATGTAGTTTTTTGCATTCATTGGATATATTTTTAAAAGTTTGGAATAACGAATGTGAGTTTATGTGAACTTTTTAATAGAGACAATAACCTATCATAAATTCAACTCTCGTAAATCAACACTATTTTAGTTATTGTCAACGAATGGATAGAGATAGTAAAAGAAAAGAAAACGAAATAAAAGCGCATACACAAAGTCACCACTGCAGTCACACGTCACTGATTCTTGGTTGTTGAGTTTTCTCCCCAGTGCAGGCTTTCTATCTTTGCCTTTTCGTACTGTATATTTTTTTTTTTTTTCCTAAAGTCCAAACTCATATATAAAAGCTTTAGTAGTCTGATAGCAATAAATAAGCATGAAACAAGCTTTCTTAACTTGTTTCTGTACACCAGTAACATATGTATACATTACTTGGTAGAAATTTACCAAAAGTTTGTATTGTCGGTGTTCACTGGCAGCTGCTGTCAGCTAGCTTGACAGCAGTAGAAAGTATTCTCTGTGAATTTTCAAACTAACAGCTTGAAGGCGATTAAATGATAAACTGGATCGGAATAACCAACTCAATTTCAGCTATCGCAGTCTTTAAGCCACAAAGTTAAGCTTTACTGACCACTTTATCTCCTCTTATCAGATAAAATGCTAATTTTATTTAGTCACTATACAAACGACAAAAGAGATCATCATCAGGACCATTCGTGTAGTGATGACACGAGTTCGTTTAATTCTGTAGCTCTGGAACGTTATAAGAGCATGGAGACGATTTAATTCACGTTTGCATGTAGACAGTGAGGGTTGCAAGAAAGGAGAATAAAATGGAAAGAGAATGTAGAGAGTGAGAAGAAGAGATGTGGTCAAGTGGAGAAATGCTGGACTCGACGTGCCGGATGGCTAACCCATATAATTCCACAACCCACTGTGATAATTCCTTTTCCCTGGGAATTTGCATTACAATGAATTGCGAGTAAATGTGCTTAAAATTGTCATATAAAAAATACTAGGGGAAGAGAATATTGTAGTCATACAATTGTAAAATAATGTTGAATTTTTTTTTTTACTTCGTTATTTTTCTTTTTTAACTATAAAACAATGGTATTGGTTTTATTTTATAGAAATAGGCATATTTAGTTGAATTGTTAGAGGTTGATAACAATTTTTTTGATTTTCAATAGTTTACGTAAAATTCGTCAAGCATGGAGATAAAATGGATTTTGCAAGCGAAATCGATAGATAACGAGAGAGAAATGTGACATTCTCGTTTCCGTAGAATTTTTAAATTATCAGAAGAGTAAACCAGACAAATGTCGATTTGATTGATGCGATGATGAAACATGGTTGATGTCAATATAGTTAAATGCTGTCACTTTTTTTTCAATATTTTTCATTTGTTGACAGACGTTGAAGTGAAACGAAAAGATATATAATATGAGCAAACGAAAAAAAAAGTAATTTAATGTGAAAAATGTATTTTTAATGCTTATGGGCGTTTTATTTCATTATATTTCTATAGAAATAAATTGACTAATAGAGATTTATTCTTCTACTTTCATTTATATAATTCTAGAATAATTTGAGTAAGATTTATTCTCATATTTAAATTATGTGTCGTATAATTGATAAAGTTATCATTTTATCTCCCGGACTGAAACTAGAAAAAACCAAGGAATGCAATAAAAAATTAAATATTACAGTATTATTTCAGTTTTTGCTCTCCTTTTTTCAACATAATATGTGTATTTTAATAACGAAGCTTTTTATATTTTTTCACAAAGAATATTTGAGTTACAAATGTTGCAAACTGTAACTAGAATCTATTTCATTTCTAAAATATCTTCATTAACACTGACAAAGAGACGAAAAGTCTGTCATACAGCTAGGAAACTTTGTTCTAATTTTAGCGTAAAATTTTTATGATCGTATATTTTTCATTGTCCATAGTGAAATAACCTTAAAAAATGTTTTAAAAATTGATTAAGATGGAGAAATAGTTTGTTTAAAATTTTTATTATGAAAGAAGTATAAATTTTAAATTAATAAGCATTAATTATTATTTGAAAAGAAAATTTGAATAATGTGATAAGAATAATTAAAAACGTAATGTGAAAAATTGAATTTTCTATAAACAATGAGATATCTGTAGATTGCTGAAAAAATCTACTCTCTCATCTTTTCCTTTGTTTTCTTATATTGTCTGTCGTTTTTTCAAAAGCAATCTCCGTTTTATATCAGAGAATTTTTCTCAAGGGAAATGTATCTTCTGATAATCGGTTTCTGTATGAAATACAGACCGTAGAGTATTATTTCCTAATAATGAAAAATATTTCTGTAAATTTAAAATAATTTTTGAAAGATTTCCTTCAGCATTACAAGAGAATCAATGTCTACGTAGCTATAGTGTCACGTTATCCTGTTCAAATGATTAGAAGTAAATTAAATGAGACTCGAATAAAAAAGGTCAAAAAAAAAAAGTAAAGCTATAACTATTTCTGATGAGTACGTGACGACGAGCGATCTTGAAGACTGATCCCGTGGGATGACGACCACTTCAATTTTCCTCTAATCCCCAGCAGCTGTCTGCGATATCTCAGGGGCATTTGAACATTGGCATCGTGTTCTGAGACCGTAACCTTTCACCTTCTGTTCTCCATCAATAGGTACCAACGGTATATGCGCGACTATAATTCTGCATCGACGAGGTGAATTTCACGTCGCCCGAGGCAACTGTACTGAAATATCGTTGGTTCGTTCGATGCTCGCTTTTGCATATTCATGGCAGGAGGAAGTATTGGAGAATGGAGTAGGGTCGAGGGTCGCGCATATGTTGCCAATAAGTTTGTAACGGGTAATGCTTGGTTGTGAGCACCTGAGTGCGTAGTTGTGTATAGTGGTATCCTTTGATATCGTTCTCGCCCACTACGATGTTTCATTGTGTGCATAGGATTTCTATAGGTAGTACAGACACGCCTGTAATGCTCAGTACACGTTTCCAGGCCAAAAAGTCAATTGCAAGCGATTGCTGTACTTAGATAACAACGCAAGCACGTTTGTGTTTACGTGGAGATAGAGACACTGTGGTGGTGCTGATAAGAGATACATTTCTGGATGATCTAGGTTATTTCTCGAGTAATAATGAGCTAAAAGCATAATGATTAGTAATTCAAGGTAGCTACTAATCATCCCTTTCACAAAGCAGTCAATTAAAATAACATTGAATTGAATTTTATGTTATTTTTGTTTTTCAGATTACAGTTTAAAGCTTGGGAATTTTCACTTAAATTTAATCAATCAACTATTTCATCATCTCTACTCTTATTGTAGATACAAAAAAAAATAATTAAAAAAAACATCCAAGTAGTGAATAAACTCATGGGAGTTATTACCCAGTGGACAGCCTCGAAAATATTTTCACTTTAATTCGAGAACTCACGTTGGAATTCATGAATATGGAAAATTCTGACTCTAGTCTGGTATACTTATTTTTACTATTTTTTTCTTGCTGAATTTTTAGTAGTAATTTTTTCTTTTGACTTTTCACACCGTATGCCGGAATATATACAAGTGCCAGATTATAATTTTTTCGTTCATCAAATTTTTTATCAGATAAAAAGTTTGAAATATTCCAAGATGCATATTTAATTATACTTACCCCGATTTAATAAAGCTTGCAAATGCTTGGATAATACTTTCAGACATAACGATTTCAGATTTAGTATAGTTAGATTTTCGAAAATATCCAAAGCCCTCTACGAGTGGTGCTCCAAAAATATAAGGCAACTCTTCTCCATGAACGGTTCCCATTTTCTGAAAAATAAATTATACTATTTTATCTGCATCGTAAAATGTAAGCAATAATAATGGAACGTTTGTTATTTCTCATAATATTACTGAATTAACACAGTGAGTTTAATTGAAAACGAGCTCATAAGTCATCGGTAGATGGGTTCTTGTAATCAAATAAACCATTCTGATAAACGAGATCGTTACTGAATTATTACTGTGATGTCGCTAAACAATGAGAATAATTAAATATAAATTTCTAGAAATTTTTTCTTTTATTGCCATGTATTATTCAAGTTCGATAAAAGCTGTTCTACATTTAGTAGGTACTTAATTACTCATCGAAAAATAAATTTTAAATGGGCTTTCAGTTTCATTTCTACCATATGTAGTTCTATCCGTACAAGTACTTTCACATTTATAAAATAAATATAGAGAATGAAGAATTTAGTATTTTGGTCTGTTTCAACTAATAACATATCACTGAAAGCTTTGAAGCATACTTTTCATCAAGCCTCTCTAGTGACGATTTCTATTGCCTCACCTGGCGAGATTTAGTATCGATTTTTATTCAATTGTTTTTTATTTTTTATCAAGGCTCAATTCGGTCACATTTCCAGCTCTTTTGGTAGACTTTTGATAAATAAAAATTTATGGAATATTAAAATAATACAATGAAATACTACTGGCAAATAATTAGATTGATTGGCTGAAGAAACTTAATATGATATAACCCTTCGTTCAATTTATCGTTTCTTCTAACTTATGGCAAGTTCCTGACAATGATGGAATTCAGTTTGCGAAACAACCTCGACGAACTGACGCCTTAGTAAGACAATGACTGATACAACCATGTGGAATTCATATCTTCTTACTGGTGTGGATTGTTAGTTTCTGTTTCTACGTATATTAGGTTTCAAACTTTGCCCCAATAAGAATAATTAAGCTAAATTCTCAATTTCTTCATGCTTGGCTTGAATTAGAGGGTTTTTTGTTTCCTTAAGAATAATTAGAGAAATATTTAACTAAATAGATATCGAGGTACCTAATTTATTTCTTATTAAGATTAAGAAGTTGAATAATGTGTAATAAAATTACATGATTACAGTGAAATAGTATATTACGGTATCGTTCAGCGTGGAAGCTAATTGGAAAAAAGTTTTCTTCTTTTATCTTTTAAATAAGGCATCAAAAGAAAATTCTTTTATCAAAGAAAAAAATAATATTACTAGATTTCCTTTAAAAAAAATGTCATCTTCAATAATATACTTTTAAACAGAAATGAGTTGAATTAGTTCTATCATTCGCTTATTATAGATATCAATTATTCTCCATTGAAGTGGAATCATTAATTTTTTCCAGTGTGAAAACGATTTTATACAATTATTTTTTTTTGTTTCAGAATGATTATAGATAAATAGAAAAAAGAATAGCAGCAGAGGTACTCTATTGATATTTCGAAAGTCGTAGGGATTGGAACATCACTGGAAAGTACTTGAAGTGGAACAAGGGCCGATACAATAATGTCTAGAGATGTGTAGACATCAGAACTGTGGAATTGAAAAGGGAGCCAGAAGTTTCAAGTTTACAGATTCTTAGAAATCGACAAAAAGAGTGTCTGGAAATTCTCCGTGGTTACACATACTGATTTACTTGGATCTTCTGTTCTCAATCGATGAAAACGCCGGAGACATAATATACAGAAGCTTTGAACATCGTATTGAATTCGTTCAGCATTCGTTCCACCAAGGATTATTATCTTCTTTGAAGATCTGTCCAGTTTCTTGAACGACGATAAAAGCTTATTTTATTTTTATAACACGTACGTATTGAGTTTTAATATAAAAATAATACATAAAAATTTGAGAAATAATGAACAATTAGATATACTCAGTTATGTGAGTTTATATTCAGTAACATCATTCTCTGTACCGTATTGATTTTACATAACGTCTAAGTCACAGTCACACTAAGCTTGCGGTGAGATCACGAACCGATTAATCGCAATGGTCATGGACTACAGCTATCTGAAATACGACAGTCCAAATGGTTGCGAATCGATAATCATTATCCTCGAAATAATGTCAGAGACGCAAGCGATTGTTTAATATTTCAAATAAATCTTGACATAAAAAATCATTGGATTTTCTCGAAGTTGATTTTTCAAGCCTCAAAATTATGTTTTCAAACTTGAGTGTAGCAGTGTGACCTTTCAAATCAATTTTATCACACAAAGAAGCAAGTTATAGCTGTCTTCATAACTTCAAATTCTTTTAAAGTCTTATTCGAACAAATTCACATGAATATAATAAAAATATATTTTATATGATCCCAAGTTATAAAGTCAAGTATAAAACTCTGAATATTGCCAATCATTGGTAAAGATATCCAATAATAAAAACTTTGATGATAGTCCAATTTAAAGCGCATATTTCTAACAAAAAAAAAATATCTATTTCTGAAATCAATATCATATTATTAAAGTATTGGGAATATTTCATTGTCACATTGAGTTTGTCAATCATCATTTTGAGGTAGGTCTTTTCTATATATAAATGGTTGTCGTGGTCTTGATTTATGAGATGAGAAAAAGATATTTATATATGTCTACTCAGTTAACAAATTGCGAGTGTCATGACGATGGACAGTTTGCGACAACCTGCTGAATTATATTCAAATACTCGGACTTGGGTTGACAGTTGAAGTATCATCATGGGATAGTTTTGATAAAGCTTTTATGACATTATTATATTATATTATTTAATAATTTTTACTATCGAAGTAATTGATGATCATATCATTAATATATTGAGGAGCATGAAAAAATACTTGTTGAAATTTTCTGATGGTTTAGTAATCAGGTCGCAGAGTGCGTGTTATAACAAGATGAGATAACACTTCATAATTGGCAAAATTATCTTTGTGCTTTAAGCACAAGTAACGAATAAAATTCATTGTAAAGCTCTCATTATAAGTACGTTATTATTATTTCTTTCTCTTTATTCTTGTATTTCTTCTCGAGTTCAGTCTATTTCCGTAGTTGTTGAAGAATATTCACTTTGCTTAGTTCGCTTAGACTTAGTTGTAGTGTTAGTGAACCCATTCCATACGGTGTAATTCGAGGAATCCTTGAGTCGTGTGTTGGCAGTATCCCGACACCCTCGCAAAAGTTAGTAGTACAGTATTCAAATTACAGAGGAGAGCGTCTTTCAGACTTTGGTGCAAGTTCGGTAAGGCGTGGGAAAACTGTCTCGTAAGGCACGAGGAAGTTGCTCGAATAGTCGATGTAAAATTTTGGCAAGACTGTTTTCGAAAGATGGAATAGAAAATATAACTTTAATAGAAAAGAAGAGAGTTGAAGAAATATTACAATGTTCACTTTTTTTAAGAAGAGATGAAGAAAAGAAATAGTTTTTAGAAAAAAATTGATTTGAAAAAGAAAAAAAAATTGGCTCAAAGAAAAGTAAGATCATAACTGTAGGAGTTTAATAAGGAAAATCTATTTCGTATCGTAAGAAAATTGTTATAAGATCGTTTACTTTTGATTCAATTCTCCAAGCGTAAAATTCGAATTCACGAAAGTTGGGAAGTACTTACATGGTATACCTACATACATATTTTCAACAAACGTGAGAGAATTGAAGCGAACCGAAACTGGGTTTTATTTGCTATTATTTTGCGCTGAGTTCACTGGTGTAGTAAGTTCTCTACTCCATTTTTCCTATGTTAGATCAGTAAACACGTATTATAGACAAACGAAGTACGTTGACTACGAGTTTCTCGTCTAAAAAGGAACTTCTTCTACTTGAACAAAACGGACAAACGCGCACTACCTTGATATACTCACAGTGAACAAACATTGCAGCAAATTCTTTTTCCATATATGCATCTATCATTCCAACATTTCAAACTGCTTTTGAATAAAATTCAAATATTCTGAAATAAAGAACAAATAAAAAATATAACATATCTCGGAAGAGAGCCAAAGGTGTTTTCTGAATGGCATTACAATGCTCCAAAGACCTCATCATGGTTGATGTCTTTTGCATCGATTTAAATTTAAATGAAAGAGATTACATTTTTTATTCTTTCTACTATCCCAAATTCTCTTGCAATTGCATTGATGTTATTTTATCTGTTTCAGAATTTCTTAAAGTTCATCTTCAGGTGACATTATCGATATTCGAGTGCTGTAAAATGGTGACTGGCTCTTGAGTGTGAAAACGCCTCTAGAAATGTCTTGATGCTCATGAAGAACAATGTCTATCTAGCTTTCTCTGGTTCGTATTGTTTCTATTGCCTATTATTTTCGAGTTGCTCACGTGAGTATGAACACTAAGAACAATATGTAGACATATAGGTTTTTGCTTATGTATGTTTGTGTGCATGTCGCCAGCATACCATCCCTTTGCTCCATGTAGAGTAGAGTATGAGGTACTTTCGTCATGGCAGTGAAGCTGAGCTTGGTCGAGCTATATAAAGGCACATATAACTGAAGAGTGTAAGTTTCCCCGTTGATCTCTGTATATGTCGCGTTATCTCAGCTCCGTAGTCCAGGTCATTCTCCTACTCCCTCTCGTCTCTCACCTTTTCTATTTCTATTTCGACTTGAGTACACTCTACCCTCTATTCTCTACGTTCATACTCTCTTTCAGCTCGTCTACTCTTCTTTCTGTCTCAATCCTCCAAGTTATATGCCTCGTTGTGGCACGAACTATTCCTATTGCCTTTTTCTTCTGAGCTACAGAGTTGGATAAAAGGTGAAAAAGCTAAAAGACAGAATCGTGTTGAAATACTGCTCAGAATGAAAAGAAGCTTGGGTGCCATCATTTCGAAGGTTACGACCGGTATCATCATGTTTTCTTTAGAAGTATCTGATTTCGTCGGATAAAATTCTCACGTTCACCAAGAAATCTTTTCGTCATTTGATGATGTGATTGAATTAACTTGTCATAGTATACTATATCACTATGCAATGAGAAGAATAATTGAGTAGATAATCAACACAAAAGATCGGAGTCAAT